AAATGACATATACTCCTTCCTCTAAACAAGCAAAGAAAAGTCCATCTATAGATTAATCATATAAGTAAATGAAAAGTGCATTTTTATGTACTTATTTAGCTCACAAACATGACTAAATTAAGAGCAAAGTGTTTAAATTGTAGCTTAATTTCGTTTGATTTGTATATTGTAGGCCATATTGGTGGACATGTTGGAATCCATGAGAAAATATTTGAAAAAAGGGGGCTAAAATGAAGCAAAGTGAAAGTTCAGGGACCAAAGCGTAAATGCTCAAAAGATGAACTAAAAGACGAGTCAATAACACAAATAAGCTGAGCATCAGCTCAGAGATAATACGAGATGATCAAAGGAAGAAAAAGAAAAAAGACCAAAATGAAGAAAACGAAAGTCTACGGACTAAAGTACAAATACCAAAAAGATGCCCCCAAAAGAAAAATCAAGTGATTGATTGAGTTAAGTACCAATTGGGGGTTAATATTGATTGATGGATTGAGAAGAACCAAGAAATGGGGCTAAAATGGAAGATAACAAGTTTCTAGAACCAAAATAACCTTAATTGGAAAATTACTCCACTATGTGGTCGCATAGTAGAGGATTCCATGCACTCGCATATACCATAGCAGGGAATTTGAGAGCTGAAATCATTTTCACCATGCGGTAGCATAGCTTAAAGCTATGTGGTCGCATAATTATTTTCTAGGGGTCGATTCTGCATACGGTTGGCAACAGTTTGGTTCGGGGTCGGTTCGGCCAAAACCATCACTAAATCACCAATTTGTATGTCATACCATAATCACATAAGTCAATTTCGATTCGGTTCGGTTCATATCTCGGTTCGGGGCAATTAATAACCATAAAAATAAATAATTTTCATAGGTCCAGTCATCAAATTGAAAAAAATAATTTATGAAAAAAATCACACATGATAGTTATCAACTGATAGTCGAGTGAATTATATTAGAGCACTTCAAACAATTTGCATTCTTGATCACTTACCAGATCAAAAAAAGGGCCGATAGATGGTACATCTGTAAGAAGGCAACGATTTATGGTACTAAGGGTGATGTCTAGGTTACTGATGACAAAATCAAGAAAGACAAAGACTATGTATACTTAATTTCAAACCAATCTAGATGCCTAAAACTAATCAAATGATCAAATTTACCTTACGATTGTTGATTAAGTTCGTTTCAAGGGCGAGTGAGTTGATAACCATCATGTATGACTACAAAGGAAGAAAAAAGGCCATTGCGGAGTTTGCAAAATTAGATATTTTTTTATACATGTTTTGCATTGGATTACTATTTAGATGGAAAAAAATAAATTTAGCGAATAATTGGTTAGGTTCGGGGTGACGACGTAAATACCATTCTCGCACCGCCCCGAATCGGTTCATTAAAATCAAATACTATATCCGCTCCATTGCACCATCGATTCTGATTTTTTCTCCCCGTTCGGTTCGGTTAACCACGATTTTCGATTTTGACAGTTCAAATTGCCATCCCAAATTCTGCAGTTTCCTATTTTCGATATAACTCTTTTCGAACTCGATTGGGACACGATATAAAAATCTAGAGTCATCATATTTGAAAGAGGAACACATTGGCAGGCAAGAAAACTCTTCTTGGAGAGGATTTTGAGCAAAAGTAATGAAGAATTTCATGAAAACCATCAAAATTTCACGCGAATTCATACCCAGTGATTTTTTTCTTCAATTCAGCATGTATTCTGTTATTTTCTCCATGTTTGGCTAAATATTTCTGTACTGAGAGATCGATAAACCTTATGATGTGATATTTAATTCTTCGTTTCATGATTTTTATATTATAATACGTTTGGATTATTTTGAATGATTTATATGCACTTATTTTCTCCACAATTATTGTGCACATAATTTGTGTGAGTTTGGTGACTTGTTCTTGCATTTGAGAGAAGTGGAATAAGTTCGACAGGATATAAATCATCGTAGGGTCCGATAGGGGATACGGATATACCGTTATACCCTATGTAAATCTTTAAGTGCTCACAAAATCACATGTGTTTTTATACATTTACATCCGTCATAGAGATATAGGCTAGTGGTTTATAAAAATAGGTTCAATACCACTAGAGAGAGAGTGTTGGATAGATTTATGAGCATTGATTTTTCAAAATTTCATCGTGTTGTCGGATTGTGAAATTAGGGTTAATTTGAATATTGCTTGAGAATTTGTGATCCTAGTGCGTTTAATTATCATTGAATACAATCAAATTGCGTTCTAATTCATTTGAAGAACAATGTTTTGCATTCATTCAACTTTCACATTTGCATAATTAGGGTTTTTTCTAAATTAGAGTTTTTTTAGGTTAAAAGAATTCATTCTCGATAGTTTAGTTTCGGTTAAAGCTACGAAAGATAAAATTGAACTACTCAATCTTTGTGAAATGACATTCAAACTCACTTCATCCACTTTATTACTTGTTGCGAATCTTACAATTGCAGTGTTTTAAATCGAAAGAATATTTTTGTAAACAGTAAACACTCTTACTTGTTAACAAATATATGCATTTGTGAAATGTTGAAGATATGTATCAATATTTGCATTTCTAATTTCCTAATGCAACTTCTTTGGTTTATATTTAGGTTTACATTTAATGTATTATTGTGACACATTTATTTTCTATACCTGTCTCCTCTTTTATATGAAATATAAAAAATAGAGTTCCATTTCTTCCAACTTACCTTCATTCAAATTTATGTGAATTTAAGAACACTAGGATTATGAGCCACATGCCTTTACTATATAATAATTCAATTTCCAACTGTTTCAATTTTTAATTATTTTTTCCTTTACTTGAGGTATAAATCCAATAACATAGAAGAAGTTTCAACTGGCAGGATAGTATTTACAATTTACTTTCTTCAGGAGTATATTCCATAGCAAATATATCACAAGTATCAACAAGCTATAACATTTTCAAAACTAAATGTACATGTTCATTTTAACTTCCATATAGAATCATCTTTATTTCTTGTTTTACTTACTATTTTAACATCATCTAATATAAGGGTGGATGCAAATATCCAAAAACTCAATGAGGTTGTAACCAAGAAATGTTATTATGCATTAACTTCTTCAAGAATATTGATCCCAAAAGAAGACAAAATACTCAAATCAGAAATGTAGGACTTTTGCTTGTGGTTAGTAGCCTTCTTTTATATTTAATCTTCGTAAACTCTAAAATCATTCCTTTCATCTCAATTTTGTTAACTCATCCTTATTTTGTTAACAGCAAAGCTACTTTTAGTTAAAAGCAAAACCACATATTACACATCCCAAACGATCTTTCTGGTACATGTTGTGCAATAACTGCAATAAATCTACATATGCTAATTTCGATGAAATCCATTACTGTATTCTGTAGATACTCTCAAACTTGTGTTGTTCTAAGGTAATAATTATATGTACATAAAATATAATTTCATATAGACTATGTTTTTCCAACTCTTGTGTCATATTCCCATCGAGCAAGAGTTTCTATCTGATTGCAAGATCCATTAGCATCTATTGATGCTACAATTATAGGAAAAGCCAATGAGAAATTCTTACAATGCTCTGCCCTCACATTGATGAAAGAAATAGCTTTGATATCCACATCAAACATATATTAATATATCCATTTACATTCTACATCTAACATTCCTCTTTAACGGGACAAACCAAGCTTTCTAGAATCAATCAACACCTCAATAGATGATGATTTGTTTTTCAACATAAAAGCTATAAAACAAAATAAAGGAAGAAGAATACAAGTACGATATCATCTTCATCGTAGATACATCTTCACCAACAGCAAAAGATCTACATGTAAGTAGTAATGGGAGCACATCTCTAACTCCATTTGCTGGTGATGATAGTACATCTCTAACTCCATTTACTAAATCAATAAACTTGATAGAACATGATTCCAATGAATCATCAACTAAAAAGGTTTTATTCTCAACTTCAGTCGTCCACATTCCACAAACGCGAAAGGTAAAGGCATTGCATCGAATGAATCCATTGATGACAATCTTCAATAATGCATTAGACTTGTTTTTATCATTTTTGTCTCTTTTGAGTACAAGATGTAGAAATACAATATGTTTTGTATATGAACTTTAAAATCTAACTTGTATTTCGGACTATTGATGCAATAGTTATGCAACCAAATATTAATATTGTGGTTTGGCTATAGTTTGGTTCGTAACTACTCTACATAAACACTTTAGCCTTCTGGTTAATTATATAAAATAGTGCTTCTATCTGATTCTTGATCTATCACATATTTGATCAACGCATGAGGTATCAAAAGTGATGATGACACCTATGACTAGGACTTAATATTACAAAATTTATCTCGCATTTAATATTTTAATAAAAATAATTATAATATTTGTCCAAGTAAAAAAAAATGTTGTAATTTGTTATGAAGAGGTACAATTATTGTCCAATTGTAGTCTCGTTTTTCGTTTCCATTAAACAACAAAAAAAATCTGCTAACACAAATCTAAAACCCATTATTTTTTCTCAAACATCTCTTCTATATCTACTTACATGTACGCATTTTATTCAATTTCAGTTTATAAAGTACTATCGATGACGTCCATTCAACAACCACCATATACTTATATTTAACATTTATATATAAATAAATCCATAAAAATTAGAAGCTTGTTGATGCACACAAACTATTCTAAAAACACAATTTATATTAATAATAAAATTTATTTATAAACAAACGTAACTTGAATTTCAACCTATTTTCATAAATATAAATAGAAACACTAAAAAATGAAAATTCTAAGGCACAGCTCCATCGGGGTGATAAATCTCTACGCAACGCTCAGCATTACTCCCCGCGCAGTAGTATGGATAGATCCTCTCTGCGCAGTGGGGAGAACGGTCTCTCATTGAGAACACTCCGAACATGTGTCGCAACTCCAACAATTCCCATTTTTTTCTCATTTTCATTTTTTAATGGGGAAGGGTACTAATTTGTTATGTTTTTCCATTCTGTCACTCAACCAGCTACTCTTCATTTCTCCATGCAACCTTTTCTTGTGCAATCTCTTATCAAATCTGCAAAAAGAAAGGTATGTGGATAAAGATTTGTTCATTTCTTGTGCTTTTTGTGTTCGTTTTCATTCTTTAGCTTTGATTTCAAAGAGTAACTGTTTAAAAATTTGCAGAATTTGTTACTTGTAGTTGCTTCACAATGAAACCACATCAGGTTCTACTCATCTTCTTCATTAGCTTTTTCTCTCTTCCTTGGACCAATTTATTTCTTAACTTTTTAACTTATTTTTCTGCTAATCCTTGTGTTTTGTACACCATTACGCAAGGGTAAACTAAATTTCTATAGTTTTAAATTATATCTTGTTTAGATTGACGTTTAATTCAGAAGCTATGCTATGGGATTTCTTATTTGCCATTTTTTTCAAATCTGCTCTTTTTTTTTGCTCATGTATAATTTTTCTTTTTCTTTTGCTTTTTAACTCCTTTTTTGTTCATAAAGTTTTACATTCTTCTTCTTCATTATTCATTTCTTAATACATGTACTTTTGTATGTGGTCATCCTTTCCATTAATGTGAGAAATAGTATAAGGGCAGATTTCCATGTTTTTTGTCCTTTTTCTACACTTAACGTAGGTTTTCTTTTTCAATTTTACTTTTTGGCTATAGAATTGTTCGAACTTACTTCTTATCTACTTAAATCCTTGTTTCTCCAAGGACCCATCAAATCCGCAAATCCTTCCGTTCTTTTAAAAATTCTTCAATTGCATAAAACCATCATACACAAAGAAAATTTTAAGAAGAAGAAAGTATAGTGCCACAGACCAAATTTCTTCAATCAGCTTCATTATTCCAATTTAGTTGAAAATTTGTTAATTTCTCGTGTAAATTTATCATAATTTATGAAAATTTAGGTTTTCTTTTTTCACACTAATATGAAATTGTTAATTCTTTATTTAAGAGTTATGATTTCTCTATCCATACCACTCAATCAAGTCGTCTTTATTGTCTCCAAATCAACTCTTTTGCCAAACTTCTTCACAGTTTGTTAAATTGATTTTTCGGCATTTTATCTATTTTTTTGGAAGTATATTTGGATTTCTTCCAACTTAAATTTCGTGTAAAAAATTAACACATTGCATGATGTATACTAATCTTCTGACATTAAATCCAAAGTTTAAGTTCATACGCAACTTCGATTAGCAAACTTTCTAATTCACTTATATTTCAAAGTCTATTACTTAAAACGTCCACTTTACATTCTTAAACACTAGTTCATATAGAAAAAATATTATTCCCCATTGCTTCTAACGATTTAACAAATACATTTATCCATTATCGTTGCAGTATAAATATCATGTCAGACGAAATGGATGTACCATATCATTTCTTTCGAATTATCACTCCTTCGTTGAACCATAACATTTGTCTGGTTAGTCATATAATAGTTCCTTCTTTCACATTTATTAAAAACTTTTAAAATTATATATACAATGAAAAAATGATTAAATGTCATATTTATATTTTTCCTATATCGATGCTTCCTAGATCTTTTGTGAATCACCCAGGACATCAACTTACTGATACAGTACGTTTGATTGGATATGAAACTATAATTGCTAACATACGATTGGAAAGAGTTGATGAAAAGATATATTTAGCTGGCGGATGGGAACACTTTTTTTACCATCATAACTTACAAGATGGTTATCTTCTTGTGTTTGAATATAACGAGAATTCTACATTCAATGTCATGGTATTAGACCATTCGGGGCAAGAGGTAATATACAACTTTGATATTCTTGAAAAAGACACTTTACTTATAGGTAATCTTGTCTTTGAAGTAACATTAGCAGCTAATCACAACGATCATCGAAAAATTGTAAGGTTCTCTTTAACTTTGATTATTTATCGCTTGTATCTTTCTTTACTTAAATGTATAAAATGTCATTCTATATTCACCTTTTTCCACATAATTTCAAATTCGATAATTCATTGATTTATCATTTTACTTTGCAGTATATACTTGGAAGGTATGCTAGACAACATTTGTTGAAATTCGTAAGCAATGTTCAAATTCACAACTCTTCATATCGCAATTGGAATGTCACTACAAACTTTAAGACCAAATGGTGTAATACGATGTCTCACCATAGGTTGACAGATGATTTTAGAGAGAAACAACTACAAATGGGTGACACGTGTGTTTGAACTACTAAATAATGAACTCTCAATGTTTACAGTTTACAAAAAAGGCTACACTGATGGGACTCTGACTTATATATGAACTATTAAATTTCAGTTGTATCTTTTTTGTTTGGCTAATATGAAACAATTCTCTTTCCCTATATGCTAAAAATTCATCACTAGATCTTCGTTGATGATTAATTCATGCTATTTCTAATTCTAATTCCATTTGCTTTCTTGTTTACTTATATTGAAGTATATTATCACTTAATTGATTATGTTATACGGATTTTAGGCAAGTATTGATTCTTTAATATTAAACAATCTCTTTAATTCTTCCATATCTCATAAAATAGATGTACCGCACCGTTTCTTCCGAATGAACACACCTTCGTTGAGTCATGACGTTCGTCTTCTTCCAAATTATCACACATTTGTTGGGCCATGAAATTAGTCTGATGAGTATTATGAAGATTATTTGAACACAAATATCAAACCCATTTTTTTCTCTCTCAAATACTTACATCTCGTCTATGTCTACTTACATGTGAGCGCTTTATTTAATTTCAGTTTATATAAAGTATTGTTGTACATGTCCATTCAACAACCACCATACGCTTATATTTAACATTCACCAATTAACGTGCAATGCTCATTTTCTCAATAGTATTGAAAAATGTTTGATTGAAAATATGAGAGAGAAATGTATTTTAAAAATAATGGGGACCAAACAAGGGCTAAGTGATATTTTATTTATACGTAATTTTCACACATAAGTTAATTTACATACATATAAGTAGACTAAGTAGTTTGAATTTTACAATTATAAATAAATTTTGTACATATAAGTAGTTTTTTATACATTAGTAAACTACTTACTTATAGGCAAATATTTATATTTTATAAGTGAATTATTGTTTTTTTTTTCTTTTTTTTTTAACCTTATAACAATTTTCTTTACATGAAAGTGAATATTTGTCTTATAAATGTTTTAGTTATAAAATAACTTTTTTGGCCTATTAATAAATTTTAGTTATTGGATTTTTAATGTATATTGGAGTTTTTGTCTTTTAAGTGGTTATTTATTTAAAATACTTCTTAAGACATGACATTAACCAGTTTCAATAAAATATGTGGATTGAAAATAATTGTGTTTACAAGTTAAAATTGAAAGAAAATATGAAAAACGTCCAAAAACTATTCACTTGGTGGGCATAAAAATACAATCAAAATGATACAACATTACTTTTGGATCGTTTCCAGTATCCAAAAAACTACCAAGTAGTTAACTTTCTGTAAGTGTTATGCCCTAGATCCAATCGATTTAGGTTGTAAACGCTTTTAATATATTTAATGCATTTGATTTTGGCGAGATCTATTATTTATTTAAATTAATTTTGTGATAAATAATATTAAATAATAGAATCCGAAGATCCAATTTTTAGGTAATCTGTTAATCACAAGGAGTTGTGATTGTGAGATACAAATTACATATAATTGGATCTTGAATAAACCATGGTCGTAAGTAATAACGAGATACGGATATCGTTAATATAGTTAGACCATCACGTGTGGCATTTCTTACTTATGAAGTAAGTAGCTGATCTCACGAGTTAAAGTGTGGTGACACTTAAATGAACATGTGGATGTTTTGTTGTAGAACAAAACATTGGAGACCCGCTAAGAGATTCCACATGGATAACTATCTGAGTGTCAGTGGCTAATCTCTAACGTTCGGTAGTGGAATTAGTCCTTTGACTTGAGGTCATCAAAGTAGCTGATATGAGGACAGTCATACTTTGACGGTGTTGGATGTTGCTCTGAAAGGGGCCGCGACATCGTTCGGGTACGTCAAGAATCGTATGAAGGTTGTGATTGATCAATAAAGGATTCGTCACTCTTAGATAGTAGGAGATGATCTGCGTTTAATTCAATTAAGTCGATGATGAAATCCTTGGCCAAGGTGTACTCATAAGTCGAAAAGGAGTTTTCGATTTATATTGACTTAATAGTGGA